CTGTACGGTTGCCTCGAGTTAGCTGTCGCTGATGACGTTTTATCTGCTACTGTGTTGTACGTGACCGTTGTTGATGACCTTGCTCGCTGTAACTGAGTGCCGTCTTGGCCCCTGGCCATGCAGTGTTCTTGCGGTGAAATCTAGTCCGAAAATTCGTATCTCTGGTTTATGACTTCTTGTTTGACGAACAAAACCCACGTCAAACAACAGTCACAGGGATACCGTTGCTGACAATTTTCCGTCGTGGATTACCCACCACAAGGGTCAAAAGTTCAGCTTACAGTCTCTTCCAGCGACGAACAAGCGTTCCCGCGGGATGAAACGTGTACAATTTTTTCACACGTGAAGTGAATACATTACCCAGTATTGCTTCGCCGCCGGTTTCTGCCCATTTTTCTCAGGCTAGCTTGTTTGTTTCAGAATGACTAGAGTCTGGAATTCAGTTGTCCCGGTTTTACTTAATGCCCTTGACAGCATGTCCTGGTCTTACATAATACCCCGACATTTCTTTAAACTCCATCTTCCAACACACATAGTCACTCAAAACTTACGGCTGCCGGTATTTGCCTAAATTTTACTTCTGTCCACAAAAACACTACGTCTAATGTACTGGCCTAGTTATAACATGTCTGCACTGTAACTTACACTTATAACTTACAATGTATTCGCACTTAGGACGGGTCCCCAATGTAATGACTGCCCTTTTGTGTCTCCTCCACACTGACTATCTGTGGTGCAGAGTTAACACTGGCTCTAATATCTAGAGGTTCACAACTCAATCAAAGCAGACATGATCCTCTTCATGGTCACACAACGTCTAACAACGGTTAACACCAGCGGCACATTTCACGAGTTTATTTACACGTTAGCTCAATACACAAATCACAGGTGAATCCACTTACAGCATTCGGACAATAGACGTTGACATATTCACAGCTGGCTTTGACAATCAAACAGGGTACCATCACAGCTGGCCTTCTCGATCATTCATTCCTCGCCGATTCAAATCCACATGCTCTAGTCATTCTCCATTCATCTTCACAGCTTCATTTTCCATCCTTTCTCTCTGGGGCCCAGTCACCGAATCCCCACCTGATTCTCAATCCCCCAGATCTCCTCATTCACACGTGACACACTCTTTCCTGTCGTTTCACCATATCTCCGTGAAACACATGCTCTCAGGGACTTCCCCAGTTATGCCAATCATCCCCTGACATTATCCCTATTTATAACATCATTACAGGCAGAAACAATCGTCGACGAGAGATCTCGCTACTAATGATTGCTGGACCCCTGTAGTGCATGCTCCCCTCCCTGTGGAGTTCTCATTATTGTTGACACAGATTATCTTTCATGCAATCATGTCAAGCTGTCCAGTATCTATCCTCTCGGTTTCCCTCGGACCTCTGTCCCCTCGATGTACTCCAGTTTTCTTTTTCTTACGAATGACCAAAGAACGCAGACGCCCTCCCCACCCCCCCCCCCCTTTTCGCGAATCAGTTTTCCCCCGAGAAATTTCCACCACTCTCAACTGTCCAGGGTATTCTCACCACTCATTTACGAAACCACACCAAACAATCCTCCGCTATTCGTCCAACTCTCCACGATTCATCTCACACCAAACAATCCTCCGCTATTCGTCCAACTCTCCACGATTCATCTCACACCAAACAATCCTCCGCTGTTCGTCCAACTCTCCACGATTCATCTCACACCAGGACAGGACCAATACAGCACCCGAGAATTATCCCTCTCGTCTCAACCGACAACCAAGGTCTGCATAAAACACTCGACACTTTGAGCCACTCCACACTTAACTTCCTCACCATATCCTTCATGTGTCGCTATCGGTGTACCCAAGTCAATAAATGTTACCGTTAATATAACACATTTTCAAAACAAATATAGAAGTTTCCCCACTGTATTAGAAAACAAACAAATTTATAAACGTTATTAAAAACACAACAAATTGACCAGAAAAACGTATAGACCAGAGCACTGCGTTTCTTTAACAAAAAAAAAAAAAACCTGTTAGTGGCGCTGTGAGAACTTGGAGTTATCCTCCCTGACAGATGTTGTCAAGGAGAAACGGAAGTCAATTCTTGGTTGCGGTCCCTGACATCCCGGCTACCTTATCGACCTAACGTATCCATTCAGTTGATTCTTGCGTTATACAGAAAAACAGGGGGAAACAGGGAAAAGATGAAAGAATAAAGAAAATAAATGAAACACAGACAGAGAAAGAAATAAACATACAAATTAGGAAAGACACAAGGAAAGTACGAAATATATGACAACAGAGAGAAAGAACGAACGAACGAACGAACGAACGAACTTTATTTTCAAAGGGTCACAAATTGGGCACGCAGGCCCGTCTTACATTCGGCCCTTCCAGTCAACCATCTTTCGCACAGCAGTTGTATTTTACTAATAAAGCATGTTATGATCATATGATGTTATTCATAATATGAATATTATAAAAGAACACAAAAGCATGAGTTGTAAAGTGCATGCAAAAACCCGCGCGTGCATACACACACCCGCATACACACGCTCACCCACTCACTTACACACACAAACATGCATGCATACATTACATACATACACAGATACATATAAACAAACATGTATACACACATACACACAGGCATACGTACACACAAACATACATAGATACAAACATACATACATAAACACATACATACGTAATACAGGCATACACACATACAGTCATAAATCCAGTCATGCATGGAGACACACACATGCACACACGGACACTCCCACAGAGACACAAACACTCAGACAAAAATAGAGACACACACACAGACACTTACATATAAACACACACAGGGAAACACACAGCACACATATTTACATTCGTGCAGAAAGAAAAGAAAAAGAAAAAAGAGAAAGAAAAAAGACAAAGGAAAGAAAGAAAGAGAAAGAATCACACACTGACACACACACACCACACATACGCAGACAAACATGCAGACACATACATACATCCACATAGACACACACGCAGTCAAACACACACACAAATACAGACAAACAGGCAGACAAACACATACTGACACCCACAGAGACAAGAAGGGAAGAGAGACAGATAAACATCAAGAGAGAGAGAGAGAGAGAGAGAGAGAGAGAGAGAAAGAAAGAAAGAAAGAAAGAAAGAAAGAAAGAAAGAAAGAAAGAAAGAAAGAAAGAAAGAAAGAAAGAAAGAAAGAAAGAAAGAAAGAAAGAAAGAAAGAAAAGAAAGAAAGAAAAGAAAGAAAGAAAGAAAGAAAGAAAGAAAGAAAAGAAAGAAAGAAAGAAAGAAAGAAAGAAAGAAAGAAAGAAAGAAAGAAAGAAAGAAAGAAAGAAAGAAAGAAAGAAAGAAAGAAAGAAAGAAAGAAAGAAAGAAAGAAAGAAAGAAAGAAAGAAAGAAAGAAAGAAAGAAAGAAAGAAAGAAAGAAAGAAAGAAAGAGAGGGATCTCTCCACAGTTTTGTGCTGCCTGGGGATCTCTCCACAGTTTTGTGCTACCGTAGGAGGATCTCTCCACAGTTTTGTGCTACCGTAGGAGGATCTCTCCACAGTTTTGTGCTGCCGTAGGAGGATCTCTCCACAGTTTTGTGCTGCCGTAGGAGGATCTCTCCACAGTTTTGTGCTGCCTGGGGATCTCTCCACAGTTTTGTGCTGCCTGGGGATCTCTCCACAGTTTTGTGCTGCTGTAGGATCTCTCCACAGTTTTGTGCTGCTGTAGGATCTCTCCACAGTTTTGTGCTGCTGTAGGATCTCTCCACAGTTTTGTGCTGCTGTAGGATCTCTCCACAGTTTTGTGCTGCCTGGGGATCTCTCCACAGTTTTGTGCTGCTGTAGGATCTCTCCACAGTTTTGTGCTGCTGTAGGATCTCTCCACAGTTTTGTGCTGCTGTAGGATCTCTCCACAGTTTTGTGCTGCTGTAGGATCTCTCTACAGTTTTGTGCTGCCTGGGGATCTCTCCACAGTTTTGTGCTGCTGTAGGATCTCTCCACAGTTTTGTGCTGCTGTAGGATCTCTCTACAGTTTTGTGCTGCCTGGGGATCTCTCCACAGTTTTGTGCTGCTGTAGGATCTCTCCACAGTTTTGTGCTGCCTGGGGATCTCTCCACAGTTGTGTGCTGCCTGGGGATCTCTCCACAGTTTTGTGCTGCTGTAGGATCTCTCCACAGTTTTGTGCTGCCTGGGGATATCTCCACAGTTTTGTGGAGATTGCTCTTCTCCGGGGATTGCTCTTCTCCGGGGATTGCTCTTCTCCGGGGATTGCTCTTCTCCTTTATCGAGATATAGAAGGTGGCAATGTCAGTTTGGGAGCATCTTTTTTTCTCTTTCAAAGGCAGAATGTTTGATGAACCTGCCTGGTAAAATCTATTATTTTTTCCTTCTTTCTTTCCTTCTTTCTTTCTTTGTTATTTTTCTTTCTTTCTTCCTTTCTTTAATTGTTTTTTTTTTCTTTTTCTTTCTTTCTTTCTTTCTTTCTTTTTGTCTTTTGTCTTTTTTTTTCTTTCTTTCTTCCCTTTCTTTCTTTCTTTTTTTCTTTTTTTCTTCACTTTCTTCTTCTTCTTCATCTCTTCTTCTTCTTCTTCTTCTTCTTCTTCTTCTTCTTCTTCTTCTTCTTCTTCTTCTTCTTCTTCTTCTTCTTCTTCTTCGTCTCCGCCGCCGTCCTCCTCCTTCCACTCCCTCTTCTGCATGTTGTTAAATCTTTCTTCAACTGAATGACGCTGCTTGTCTCACGTTTACTCTCCTGTGAGTTACAATGTTACAAGTTGTTACCGACTATACTGACCGCATTAGCCAGTAACACTTTATTCCTTGCAAGTTTGCCTCGCTTCAGGCGAACATACCACAAGTCTCACACGTACACGTATGATCAAACATTTCCTTGGATTCCATAGCCAACTGTTCTATCATTGTCTATAATTTCGGTATTGTAGATTTGCCCCCTTGGGACTGATAGAGTCTAAGCCGGCTTTGGTTGTCAATGTTTTGTCAAAACTGATGTCGACGACGTTGACAAATTGGATAGTTCTCTGAGTGGACTCGAAAGACGATTTGTAGGAAAGCTGCTGTAGTTGTTGCTGTTGTTGTAGGTGTTGTTGTTGTTGTTGTAGTTGCTGCTACTGATGTCTTTCTTCTTGGGACTGCCGCTGCTGAAGTATGCCTTATTATCATATGTATATGGGCTAGAGGGAATTTCCAGTGTATCGTAGACATTTTGATGACTCTGACCCTTGACACCAGCTTGATAGGCTGGTCTTGGTGCTAAGGTCTCAGTCGACGGCAGCCTTGAGAAAGACAATGAAAAAGATTGTTAAAACAAAGGACCCTTTTCACAGAATTGAGCAAATATGGCTGATCTATATTTTCTTTTAGACCAATCGGCACTTGGCAAGTGATGTGGTCAACATCACGCCGGTCGCTTTCATTTCCCAGTACATTAACTGGTACTCATTTTAGACTCGAGGTAAGTTCAGTTTTGAAAAAAAAAATCAGCCTCGATGCGTTTCACGCTGGCGATTGTATACCTCACAGCCATTCAGTCCATCAACACGTAGGTCCACCTCACGTTCGGTTGTGTGTGGTGCCTTCTCAGTCAGCACAGCGAACCATCATTGCAGGTTGACTGTCCTAATCATGGGCCTGACGACATAAGTGTGCCCCTTTCAATTTGCAGGTACGAGTACTTATGGGTAGGGAGACGGTCGGCCTCTATGGCTTAGGTGTTGAGCACGCGCTTCGCAATGCCGGAATGCTGGCTTCGATCCAACTGCAGGCCTTGCTTTGGTTTCGACAGTGGTATCAAGGAGCCGACCGTCCAGTAGCAATGGTAGACTATTGGATGTAAATTTGCCTAGGAAAACTACAACAGCTAATGCTGAGGATGGTTCTGCAACGTCATGCAAACGATACGCAACTTACTTAACTTAGAGAGAGGGGGGGGGGGGGGGGGAGAAAGAAAAGACGAAATGGTTTGGACACGTGTGAAGACTGCTACCAGATTGCACCAAAGAGAGCTCTGTCCCTAAAACGAAAGAAAGCTGGGCTAGAGTTTGACTATCTAAAAGCCACAACTACTAGAACAATCGCACCAGTTGGTGGGGAGGGGGGGGGGATAGAATAGACCCATTATCGCCTAGCAAGGAGGTTGTAAGTGTTAGTAGTAGGCTAGGGTGATACGTGCTTCTTTTACATTCGGGACTTAGCCCCCTCCCTCTTTATCCTTAGTAAAGCTGGCGGCTATCTGACGTCACAAGTGATTGGTTTTTTTTTCCCCAGGAGGGTTTAGCACTTTCGTTCTTTATCCTTAGTAAATATCGATCGGGAGGTGATTACATCATGGTGATTGGTTTTCCGCTACTAGTGTATAAATCGATACTTTGCATTGTCTCCATAGCGACGGGCGACTCATCGCGTTGCCGTTTGTCGGCGTTTTCTTTTTAGAGGATTGATATGGTTTTAAGGGAGGCAAATCTGTAAACACAGAATGCAGGTTCTTGAACAAGGCTAAGGTTTAAAAGTGGTTGAAATGTCAGAATTGTCCGCCGGTGAAGGCAAAGAAGAAGAGTTACATCAGTAAAGAAACCTATCCCTTGCAAACCAACTCAAATTGTCAAAGTTTGGTCACCTCCTGGAGACACGTACCTGGTGTTTTCTGTTTGTCTTTTAGTCTTGGTGGTCAGCGAAAACACCAGCCGGTCCTTGAAGAGACTGTCTGCGGCCTCCAGGTAGGTGAAGGTTTTACAGCAGCGGCGCACCAGTGGATCCATTTCTTCTTTGGACACCTGCAAGTTTGAGGCATAGATTGAAACAGAAATAAGAGACAAGAGTAAAGAAAGGCAAACAGCTCTGGCACATTAAAAAAATGGTAAGGAAATGAGTAATAGTAATAGGATCTGCAGAAGCAGTTGTAGTAGTAGCAGCAGCAGCAGCCTAGCAGCAGTAGTAGTTTTGGCCAAGTTTTGATGTCACTGTTGTTGTTTGTTTGTTTGGTGTTTTATCGCACGAAAACAGGAATATAAAATAAAAAGAAAAGGCAAAGAAACAGAACAGAAAGAAAGAGGAGGACGACAAAAAGTATAACAAGTTATTAAGAGAGGGAGAGAGAGAGAGAGAGAGAGAGAGAGAGAGAGAGAGAGAGAGAGAGAGAGAGAGAGAGAGAGAGAGAGAGAGAGAGAGAGAGACCACAGGGACTAAACTAATTGACATTTAACTTGAATTAAGGATATGAGTTTCACAAACGTCTGACTGTCTGCCTGTCCCACTAAATATCTCTTAGACCCGCCTGTCTGTATGTCTGTCTGCCTGTCCCACTAAATATCTCTTAGACCCGCCTGTCTGTATGTCTGTCTGCCTGTCTCACCAAATATCTCTTAGACCCGCCTGTCTATTCTGACTGACTGACTTTCGACTTTCTACCCCACCAGGACATCACACAAGCGATAAACACCCGATGACACAACGTGCCATCATGTGGATGAGGATCACAGTGGAGAGGTCCCAGAAACCGCATTCAGCCATTAGGCTATATTTATGGCCAGGCTATATTGCGGCCCCTGGCAAGAGCCAGAGTAGGGCTTCAAATAACGAAAATGTGTGTCCCCAAAAAGACGGAAAGTATTTTGCGGTAGCTCTGGTGTTTCCTACCACCAGAAATACCCAGAGTTGAACCCACTAGCACGTGCAGAAGATTCGGGAAAGAAGCAGAAATAACCCAGAGTTGAACCCACTAGCACGTGCAGAAGATTCGGGAAAGAAGCAGGTGAATAAATAAACATCGTCTCAAGTGCCTTGCCGACTGGTGTGGGCGATCAAGTCTTTCCACATCCTGCGATCCCTGACATCATGTTTTCGTGTGCTGAGACTCATCCATGCCATGACAAAAGGCTCTCTAGAATCGTTTCCAGTTGTCTTCCCAAAGTTTCTCTGTCCACAGATCTTTCCGGTGGTCACACCATGTTTCTGTTTCCTTCTTCTCTTAACATGATCAACAAATGATGACCGTCTCTTTCTGATTGTCTTTTCAAGAGATCTGGATTGTTCATTCTGGATGTCAAATGAAAATAAACAAAGTAAGCCAAATATACATATTGCAACATCCTTTTTTAAGTATAGACATCTGGGCATCTCAAAATGCTACCAGTTTGTCTGTCACCCACCTCTTTACGAAACTAATGCCAGTATTTATCACTTGTTTAGGTAGCTAGGTAGGACGTGTTGGTGGGGGGGGGGGGGGTATATCGTGAGCCTGAAGGCTTAAGATCGCGCCCACTGATAGTGTTAGCTAGGATGTTTAATTTTCCTTCCGAGACGGACAGACAGAAAAAAAAAATCTTCATTCCTCCCGAGGCTGGAACTCGGGCTTTCCGTTTGAGAAGCCAGTGTCCTGACCAGTCGCTCCTATGTTATTTACTGACCACTGTGGACACTGGAAGGGATTCGTGTCCAGCCATTTTGACAGTTGTTGTTCGATCCTAGGGATCTCCTTTAGCTAAATGTGACTCGTTGAAGATCCGCACAAACAGAATGCTCTGTTAGGATAGGTCTACTAACGACCAATATGTAAAGGTGCAAGGATAGAACAGCAAGACAGAAAAATAGACAGAGAGACAGTGAGGCAGAGAGACAGTGAGACAGAGAGACAATGAGACAGAGAGACAGTGAGGTAGAGAGATAGTGAGGCAGAGAGAAAGGGAGGCAGAGAGACAGTGAGGCAGAAAGATAGTGAGGCAGAGAGACAGTGAGGCAGAAGTACAGTGAGGCAGAGAGACAGTAAGGCAGAGAGACAGTGAGACAGAGAGACAGAGAGACAGAGATCGTTTTTTCTGACATTCCCTCCCCGTGTGGGTTCCGTCCCCCCATTGTAGGGAAAACAGAACAGACCCACTGTCCCATAGCAAGCATGTCTTCAAAGTCGACTGATTAGAAGTTCTTCCTTCGATGTCGGAGTGCATCTGTATGAGAGGCAAGGAGCTAACAATATGTGTGGTAAAACAAACTAGATTTGTAAAATGGATGTGTACTCAAGATTACAGTTGAAAAGTGGACAAACAACCAAAACTTTCGGCCGGAGTTGACAGCAGGTGAACGCGAAGAAGAACTCACCTTGTCAAGTAAAATGATGATGAGGTGCCTGGATTTCTCCACCAGACTTTGCCTGTAGGCCTGCCTCAGTTCTTCCATGGACCACTGGCTCTTAAGGAACCGGGGTGACAGCACAATGATGGTGTGCCTGCTAGACTCAATACAGTCTACGATATTGTCCAAGATGGTTTTTCCAGCAATGAAATCTCTTTGGTGTAAACACAGCCGGAAACTTCTCGCACCACTGCTCGCTCCCTCTTTATTATTTTTTGTTCCGTTAGCGATATGTCCGGCTTCCTGATTTTGTGGATTTTCCAAAACCTTTAACAGGTTTTCGAAAACCCAGGCGGCGTCCTCGTTGCTATAGGAGACGAAAGCATCGAAAGTTTTGTTGTTTCTGTGTATGTCCGAGTCACAAGGAAGCCGGACGTGGAGACGGGTGTAGAGCAGAATGCGAATTTCTATTTTAAACTTGAGGATCATGAGGATAGTGACGATCAGAATACCAAGTAGCACGCCAAGGACGATAACTACAGTGCTGTCCTGTTTCTGGACACTACACTGTAAAGAGTCAGTGGTTAGTTCATAGAGTTGCCGCCCCTTGAGGGACTCTGGAGTGTAACATCGCAAGTTTCTTACATACCTGTAGGGAGCCAGTTTACCAGCAAAGGTTGATTCATCCTCTAAGGAAGGCAGCAGGGAGACCAACTCACATCCACAGTGGATGGGATTATCTCTGATGTCGACAACGAGCTGGTCAACGGCCGCCCACGATTGTAGAAGTTCTATGCTAATACTGGTAAAATTATTGTGCCTTAAGTTGAAGACGACGTCGCCGGTGCCTGGCGTGGCCGAAATGTTAGCTAGTTTCAACTCTGATAAGTAGTTGTAGGTGAGATCCAGAAGTTTGAGTCTGGGGAAGTAAATCCGCCATTCAGAAAACTCTTTTGGAAATTCTTTCAGGCCAATTCGGGAATAATTCATGAACTCAAGTACCGGGTACTCTGACCCATAAACGAGAAATTCAAAATGGTGTAGCGGGGTCACTTGAGCTATGCTTTCATCGAAATGTTTCAACTTTTGGAAAGTGCATTTGGACCCAGTTTTGAGTATTTGTTTGATTAAATTGATGTAATCTAACTCAGCCTGTCGAGATTGCTTTGGTGTAACTTGGACATCTTCTGCTGGTGGGGTCATCGTTGTGGTTTCATTGTTCTTCTTATCCTTTGTGAGGTGCGAGTCGTCAGATACCACCTTGGTTGTGTCATTGATGAGCCTGTCTTCCGGCCGGACCGGCCCGTCGGTGATATCTCCAGTTACTTCAGGCAGTTTGGGCTTTCTTTCCTTAGGCTTAGCCGAGTCTGGCGTACTATCCAGCATCTCTTCAAGGTTGTCTACTATTGTGTCAGACACATTGCTGGTGATTATTGTCTCTAAAGACGAACTTTGGCCGCAGTCAAAGTCACTGGTCAAGTTTAAGGAATCTCCAGAACTCTCCAGAATCCTATTGGTTTTGTTAAGTAGCCAGGTCGAATGGCGAATATCCAAAACCTTCATATCATTTTCGATCTTAGAATTAACGCTGTCCATGAAGTTGCCGTATCTGTCCACCAGAAGACAGTAAGTCACGTGTAACTCTATCAACCCGGCCACTTTCATGGGCCAGGGAAGGGATATGTTGGCACCCACCTGACATGTCACTGTGATGTTGTAAAGAACAGTTCTGTTGGCCGGGGTCGTCTGTTGGTTGATGCTTTTGTCGATTGTCCAACGCCGAAGATCGTTTAGCCTCCAGCGAACCTTGTCGGATTTTTGGATATTGCACTTGAGCTGCACAAGAACTGCAGGACGACCAGCGCCCAAAGACGGTGCCAAGCTCATGCTTTTATCACAGATATTGATCCACGTCCGGGGAAAGTATCTTGACCCAGACACGATCCCTTGAAGGAGAATCGAAGCGAACACAGTCGCCACCAGTGTTCTAACACCCTTCATGAAATACATAATGAGATGGAGCTTCTTTCTCACAATTTATTCACGATTGCTCCTACATTCAGCAGAACAAGACAGCTCGCACATCCAGCACAACTAGACATCTGGTACACATTGCACGGCTAACTGGGCATCTTAAAAAGTGGAGCGTGCTGACACACTCACACGTTTCCTTAAATTATAACTGCTTTAAACGTAGTTTCTCAAACAACAGATTTTATTTTTCAAGTCAAGCCGGAGATTTGGCAGGTCGAAACTGTGGCCAAACTTCCATGCAGGATATGTTTAGATACAGCCTCGCTTCTACTCAGATGCTGTGGTCCCCAGCAGCGCACCATGCGTCACCATCGGTAGACTTTAGATACAGAACAACGTCTAAAATACTGTTCTATCTTTTATGCTGTATCTGAGGATATCAAAGATATGGCCGGTTATTTTAACATACGGCAAGATATATGTTGTGTCCAATTCTTCTTCTTGTTCTTGTTCTTCTTGTTCTTCTTCTTCTTCTTGTTCTTCTTGTTCTTGTTCTTGTTTTTCGTCTTCTTCTTCTTCTTCTTCTTCTTCTTCTTCTTCTTCTTCTTCTTCTTCTTCTTCTTCTTCTTCTTCTTCTTCTTCTTCTTCTTCGTATTTCACAGGCTGTAAACCTTGACGCAAAGTTCTGGTTCTACCTTCCTCCAATTCTGTCTGGGCTTTTGTCTTTTTTCAGAACTAGAGTTTTGCCTGCACATCTGTTCTACAAATCTAGCTAATTTTTAAGCAGACTGCTGGTTCCTTGCCTCTCAGGCAGATGCACTCCGACCTCGAAGGAATCTCCCAATCAGTCGACTCTTAGACACGCTAGTTAGGGAGGTAGTGCGTCAGGTCGTGTTTTCATCCACAATCAATACACTTACCAAAGTTAACAATGTAAAACAAGAAAAACTTTCAAAAGACAGCTGATCAAATGGTTTGCATATTTATTTTAGAATACCTTGTGACGTCACAGCATACAAGGCATACATGAAAAACAGGAGAGGCACGTAGATTACAAGGTAGACCAAGAACAATATGGAAAGAAAACATCAAGGAAACTCTACAACAGCACGATGTGTCTACGGTTCAGACAGCGAGAAGAGCAAAAAGCAGAATATTATATCTGCCTCGAGGCCCCAAGTGGTCAAAGAGGAAGTGAAGCAGAAGCGGAAGGAAAGCTGATATTTGTAGGAACGTGGCCAAATATAGAACAGCCATCTCAAGTTCCGGGAACTGCTTTCATGTCTAGAATAACACGACTGTTATCACATAATAACACTGGCGGGGGGAGGGGAAGGGTTGGGGGGGTGGGGGGGGGTGATGTTTGCGAACCGTACGCACCAGATCCTGGGGCTCTCACACTATTTTGAGCGCCTACCAAACTTCAAGAGCCTTCCCCCTACTCCTCCCCAAATAATTTTGCAAGAAAGTTAAGCAGCCCCTTTAACCATGTGTTTACATTCTTTATAAAAGGTATCTGTTTAGACATTTCATATTATATTTTATTCACAAATCAGCATTTCGTTATTATTATTATTATGCTCCTAAAATAGGATTAGACCCCTAGAGGTATGCCACGTTTTCCCTAAAATATGTATGGCTGGGGGAAGGGACACAGAGCCGTATACCCCCCCCCCCCCAACTCCCTTTTTTCCAACATTGTTTTCTCTGTGTCGGCGGACCTGCGGTGGTCACCTGTGCGGTAGCGGGGGATACAACATATGTCCCTTCTTCCTGGATTCCGGCAATAAATGTTCTAAATGTATCGCTGGTTGTGTAATCCTGGTTGGGCTCAACTTCAATAATTCATTCTTGGCGTCTCTAGCAACTGACATATACATTTACTACTGAATTGATCCGGGGCTGAATGTTCATCATTTTTTTTTTGAATGTTCAGTCAGTGACATTTCCTTTGATTTTCACTGGCACAAGGACGCTGCGTGGTCTCGAGGCATGGTGTCCGCCTGGAGGCGGAGAGGTTCTAGGTTCAATCCCAGGTAGGGGCTGGGATTTTTTTCACCCGGACTTGGACTTTTAGTACTTTCCCCTAGTCTCTGGGTAGTCAGATCAGACGCCCGTGTGCATTGTTGCGCGCGTAAAAAAAATCCATTGGTAGTTGGACATCGAAAAGAGTACCCTAACGGCGCTGCCCGGGCAACATTTTGGAGTTAAAAATCTACCCAAAGTATTTCAGGATCCTCGCCGGGTGATACAAAGCCTGTTCACTGAGCTGAGCCCTTCGGACTCAGACTTGAGTTAAAAGAAGAAGAGAGCACTTATGGGTTACTACCCGTGTGCTATGATGTTGATCCGTTGTTCAAAAACGTCAAACTTCACTAACACAGGAACGGAGCAAGAAGGGGGTGACTTCCATTGCAGTATTGAAACTTCGACTAAGACTTATTCATTCTGTATTGTTGATTCTGTTACAATCATAATTGCCTGTTTTCTGTGCGGCCACAGTCTGTTTCAGTGTCTCTGCCGGACCCACAAAGTGCTGGGCTGGCTCCGTATCGAGTCGAAGTTCCCTTTCTTCAAAACTTACCATGTCGACCCAGCCTAAATGGATACCAGGAAATGTCGAGGAAAGTAAATGTGGCCGGCATGATACTGACCGCATCACCCATCGAGTGTCGAGTCTGTCTAGAACCTTTATGCCTGATGCGCTATTGGTGTCATACAAAAAAGAAGTGGTTGGTTGGTGGGGGGGGGGGGGGATCATTTGCTCGCTTTTCTTACAATTTTGACAAAGCGGAAACAGCACAAGTCAGAAGATAGCTTAGACAGGTCTGTTTTAAGATAGTTTAGACAGACAGGTACGTTTCAGGAGACAAAAATAGACAAGACACGAGGGTCAGACAAACCGTTTCATTTCCGCGGTCGTGTTTACTGTTCTGTGTGCAGTGAAGCGTGGTGTGTCTTTTCAGGTGACAATACGTCTTTTCTTATGAATTTGTGTACCCGGTACTGTTGGGGACAATACGTCAGTTTTTGTTGAATTGTTTGGTTAGATCACAGTACCTCCCCTGCTGGTGAATTTTGTCATAATCCTTTCAGATAACAGTACGTTCTTTCTGTTGAATTGAATTGTCTTGTGGTCCCTTTCTGTTGAATTTTCTTGTGGTCCCATTAGGTGCTAATACGTTCTTTCTGTTGAATTTTCCTGTGGTCCCATTAGGTGCTAATACGTTCCTTCTGTTGAATTCTCTGGTGGTCGCATTAGATGCCGACACGTTCTTTCTGTTGAATTTTCGTGTGTTCCCATTAGGTGTCAATACGTTCTTTCCGTTGAATTCTCCGGTGGTCCCATTAGGTGCCAATACGTTCTTTCTGTTGAATTTTCTTGTGGTCCCATTAGGTGTCAATACGTTCTTTCCGTTGAATTCTCCGGTGGTCCCATTAGGTGCCAATACGTTCTTTCCGTTGAATTTTCTTGTGGTCCCATTAGATGTCAATACGTTCTTTCCGTTGAATTCTCCGGTGGTCCCATTAGGTGCCAATACGTTCTTTCTGTTGAATTTGTGTGTGTTCTCATTAGGTGAATTAGAGTGTCTCCACAATGAACGTTTACTGTAACGGATCTCCAACACTCTCTGTCTATCCTCCTGGATGTACACTCTCTGTCTATCTTTCTGTCGGTCTACCGGCCTGTTTGTCAATCAGTCTGCTTCCCCACACACATCAGCTCACACACAGTACACCACAAACTGCTTCCCCACACACATCACCTCAAACACAGCACCCCACAAACTGCTTCATCGCCCACTGCATTCCCAGCTACTCTGTCCCTATATGCAGTTTTCCTATTCACTGTTTTTCCACAACCAGCTTCTCTATATACTTTTCCAACAGCCAGCTTTCCCACACACAGCTTCCCCACAGCTAGCTTTAATCACACACTAAATCTCCACACACAGCTCCCCCACACACTAATCCTCCACACAATGCTTTCTCCCACTCATCTTCTCTGTACAGCTTTTCCACACGCTGTTTTCCTACACACAATTCCCCCTCCACACACATACACACACACACACCACAACCCGGAAATACTTGCCAACTACTAGTTAATCACCGGCTAATTACCTGTGCCCTGTCCGCCGAAACTAGGCTGGACGCTGATTACTTAACCTGCCAATCAAAACATCGCCACATTTGAACCCATCGCCCAAGTCACCATCAACAGAACCAACTGGCATAGGATTATATGTCAAAGTTCACAGTTGCATGGTTGAGAAGACGGGGCCAACAAGACCTTGTGCCCAAGGGTAAAAAGGGATAGAAAGAACTAGTCTGTAACATTTCCCTACACCTGAATATAGAAGAAGACAGACAAAACTAGATTGTAACATTCATCTGCATGTAAATATTGAAGAGGACAAACCAAACTAGATTGTAACATTTCCATACACCTTTTAATGTGGAAGAGGGCAGACAAACCAAACTAGACTGTAACATTTCCCTACACCTAAATGTGGAAGAGGGCAGACAAACCAAACTAGACTGTAACATTTCCTACATCTAAATACAGAATAAAAAAGTCAAAACTAGGCTATACCATTCACCTCATCATCACCATCACCATCATCAAGTGCCTTGCCGACTAGTATGGGCGATTATGCCTCGCCACAATCCGCGATCTCCTGCAGCATGTATCAGTTCATATGCTGAGACACCTCCATGCCATGCAACAAGATTATCAAGAATCTTCTCTCGTTGTCTTCCTCTATTTCTCCTTCCACAAATCTTTCCAGTGGTCACAACATGTTCTATTTTCCCTCTTCTCATAACATGGCCGAAAAATGGTAACTGTCTCCTTCTGATGTCTGTAATAAGTTGAACATTCACCTACATGTAAATATTTAAAAAAGTTACTTGCGTATCCTTTTCAGGACGTTGCAGAACCAACCCTAACAGCCCCTGGCTGTTGTGTGGTTTCTCTAGGCAAGTTACATCCAGTAGTTTGCCATTGCTTTCTGGACGGTCAGCTTTCTTGA